TAAAAATGAATCATTTGACTTTTTCTTATTAAATAATTTATAAGAATTAGTTGAGATTTGCATTTTTTGCTTCCCCTTCTTTCGGTTTGGTATCTGCCGGCTGGCTGCCCATTCTGCCCCTTCCACGCCCACTCCTTCACCCTAACACACCAGCAGTTGACTGTGCAAATTTCTATTTAATTCGAAATTTATTGCTTGCAATTTTCTGTTCTTTCTTTTTGCTTTGTGTGGATTTTTATGCCTGGCCTTAAAGTGGCCTTCGTGCCTTGTGCCTTGTGCCTGCAATTGAATTGCACTTTTGTGTCTTTGCAGTCGAAAGTTGTCGAAACATTTCGGCTGCCGGGTGGTGGCTTACGGCATCTGGTCTGGGCTCTGATTTGCTTCATTAGCCATGCGAAGCGTAGCTGGAACAGCAACGGAAATAACTGTAATGCAGCACAAGAAAGCAGAGCGCAATCGCTCTTAAATTGTATACCAAGTTGTTTTTCATGTTGTTGCATTTTGCTTGGTCCGTCTCGGGGGGCGGACGGTTTTCTATGCAAGCGAAATGCGCGTTAATTTTCATTTTCATTTGCATTTGCAGCCACCATTTCCACTGGCTGATGAGCGGCTGCGGCATTGTGGGCGACCAGCCAGTCAGCCAGCCAGCCAGCTATATTCGAAGGCGTGGCCCGGCTCCAAGGGGCATCATTTATATTTGATATGCTTGCTATTGTTGCATCTCAAGGCAGCTTAAGCTGCCATTAAGGCCGGCACAAAGTGGAGTGTGCTGCTGCATCAGCATCGTCGTGGGGCATGGAATTTTTCCCCCATGCTCTTTTCCTTCAGCTGGTTGAGTAAGTTTTCAAGTGAGTTGAAGCGCAAGTACTTAAATCATTGTAATTTCATACCAGACCAAACGCCAGACAGCAAGCAGGAAAGTAACTATTTATAAGCCACTCTCCATCTCTCCCTCTCTCCCCCCCTACCGCTCACGCTCTTGTTTAGCCATGCTGTAATTAATTAACTTTGCTTGCCTAAGAAATTAAATACAAATAACTTTGATATTTGTTTGCCAAAATGGATTACACATCGCATTTTGCTGTAAATGATGCTTAAAATTCCACTTGAACTTTTCAAACCTCTTGTTGTCAGGCAGGCCGTAGGACGCCTGACACTAAGATTTAATTGCACACAAAACTGTCTCAGGATCTGCACTTTGGGGCTATTCAATATTATAATGATTGAAAAATATTTGAGCTTGACTAGACGGCTTATACCCAGCAGCAGCAGCTGCAGTAGCTCAAGTTCGAGTATCAGATAAATTAAGCCTTTGAGCTGTACAGGGACCGTTTGATTATGGTTCAAAATGCGGTCAGGAACTTAATATTTGCTGTTGCATTTCCATTATTACTTTTGAATGGGCGGTTGGGCTCCCAAAATATTGATAAATCTTTGGGCACACATAACCATTCCATTCCATTTCATACCATTCCATTCGATTCCTTCTGCTGCTGCTGGCTTTTGCCCAACTTTTTGCCAGGCACTTTACACAACAAAAGGCAACAAAAACTGAAGTGTCTGCTGGCAGATCCCAAGCGGAGGAGGTAAGCAAGCCCCTTTCCAGGGCTGCCTTCTGGACAGTTGTTGTTGTTTATGGTTTACTTTCTATTCATTTCATTTCAATATGCATTTTATTTGCTGAAAATGTTTAATCGATTTTATGCAAATCATTTCCATTTCTTTGCTGCTGCTACTGCTGCTGCTGTTGCTGGTGCTTCTTCTGCTGTTGTGCCACAGCAAACACTCGAAAACCATTACAAAATAATAATAATAAAAATGGTCCTCGTACTGGCCACAAATAAATTATTTCTGATGTAAAGCAAGAGACGCAGAGGCATAGCGGAAGAGCAGAATCATCGAGAGAAAGCAGGCTGAGCGGAGAGCCGAGAGCAGAGCACAGAGAAAGACATGCAAATGTATGCAAACAAAGAAAACTTCCTAATGGAATTTTCCACATGTCGGACATATGCATAAAACCTTCTAAACAAACCCGGTCTGGGTCCACATCAGTCCAGAGTCCAGAGTCCAGCAGCCCTGGCTGTGGGCACTTTGCCGTGACCATTTTGTTTGAAAGCACTTCTCACCCGCTTGTCAAAAAGTGTGTCCGAAAAACGCCTCGCCTTGCCTGGCCTGTCCTGGCCTGCTCTGAGCGCTTACACAAAAAGAAATTTGGCAAAAAGATGGCGTCAAGCTGTGCAATTTGGCCAGGGATTCGATTACGTTTCGGTTTCGGTCAAAAGCGGTTTGGTTCGTTTCGGTTTGGTTCGACTGGAGTGGCTTTTCATTATGATCCAGATCCATACTCACATCAGCACACTCGAACGCCATGGGGTATGCTTTCAAAATCACACTCGGACTCGCACTCACAATCACAATCACACTCGCACTAACACTCACACTCACACTCGAATTTGTGTAAGTAATTTTCGTTGTTGTTGCTGTTGTTGCTGCTGCTGCTGTTGCTGCTGCTGCTGCTGATGTTGTGGGATATGCTGCATTGCGGTTTTGGTGCAACAAGCTAATGAGTTTGTGGTTGCCAGGACACTGAGCATAATTGCTTTTAATTGCAATCAGCAAATTATGCATACTTGTAGCTGTGGTCGACTCTGCCACTAAGGTTTACAAAAATGCCCCCGAAAACACCAAATGCCCTTGCAACAGCTCCCTAACGAGAGCTCTGGTGGCTAATCCGTTGCGGATCTTTGTACTTCATAAGCTTCTGTGTGGGATTAGAAACTATTTGCTCACCCTGTGTGCACTCGCGCTGCATGGCGCTAGGTGTAGCTACATTTAATTGTAATACCTTTTTAGCCCTTTGCCCAAGTTGCCGCATATCACGTTTCCCAATGGCCCCCATAGACTAATTTCTGCCACCAGTCCATCTCATGCTTAGTTTTATTAATGGCATTTCCTGCGATCCTATCGCCGAAGACTTTAATTGAAATCCCCACAAATCAAATTAGACAAACGCAATTAGCTAATCAGAGTTAAAGTGTGGCGGGACTTGAGCCCGGGCAGCACTTAAAATTTGACAGCCGGCCAGCGGCAGTATTGGCCAACTTTTTACCAGCCTGAACAATTGAAACAATGGGCCAGCCATAAAGTTTGCCACCAAATAGTTTGCCAACCCCTCCCAATCCCCCTATCTGCTCTCTTTCATTCACCGTTCATCCGTTCATCCGTTTAGGGGTTGAGTAATGGAACTTCAAAAACGCAGCCCGCCGCAAAACATGGAAAGTAAAGCCGCTTTTGTTTGTCATGGATGTATGAATATGTATGTATGTATGTCTGCATGTATGTGTGTGTTTGTAATTTGAGTGTATGAGGAGTGTGATGGCAATTAAGGGGGCACAAAGACAACCACAATAGGATTATCAGTTTGTTGCAACTGGCAATAAGCGGCAATGAGTAATCAAATGGGATTTCCTGTTCTAATTGTTATGGTTATGCTGTAGAGGCGAATAGGAGACACAAAAGGCTATGTGGATATGAAGCTGGAGCTGTAGCTACAGAATACTGAAAGTGGATATTAAGTTGGGGGAATGCTTGGGGGTGAAACTGGGGTTTTGAGTTCAGGGAGGAAAGCCTCGTCAAGAGTTGATGTAACATCATATTCTCTGTGCCATAGAAGATGATTTAATTAATCGTTAAAATTGTGTAAGTAAATCTCAGAAATGGTTTAATTTCTTGTACTTGTCTCAACACACACATTTAAAGCTTGCCCCACTTCGTCGTTTCATTGTGCGCCCCTCTGGCCGCATTAATCGACTTCTGATTCTTTGCGCTCAGCTTGTAATTGGCACTCATTCATCATATTCAGCGTCAATTATTACGGCAGTGCAACTGCCAGATGCATCTATCTTCATTTGCATTTACAGGGCTCCAGCGGCTACGCCCCTGAGGATGTTGAAAAGGAACCAAAAAAAAAAAACAAAAAAAAGAACAGAAAGTCCTCCATAATCTGAGGCATAATCTGCAGTAATTGATTTATCGCATGGCGCCTCAACGGCAGACAATTAAATTATGTTGGCCGAAAAAAAAACATGGAACTTTGTTACTTTTATTTGGGTTTTTCACTGGGCGGGTTACGGGTTGTTAAGCAAACTGCAAACTGCAAAAAAATAAATGGAGAGAGGCAAATCAATTGCATTTGTATTATTGTATTGTTTTAATTCACCCGCTCGCAATTTATGAATGCAGGATAATGGTAAAGCAAAGGTACACAAAAAGCTGAACAAACATTTGCATTGAAATCCGGGCAAAGCCTCGAATAAGTCCGTGAAAAATGCAGTTGAAATAACAGACGTAATGCATTCGAATCCATTTGATTTTTTTGTTTTCTCATTTCTGTTGTTAATTGTGTTGTATTTTTTAACAAAATATTTTGATTATGGATGTCTGTCTCTCTGTCTGCCTGTCGGGTTGATTTCCCCTAGTTTTTTTTTTATATTGTTTTTCCATGGTTTTTGGTGTTGTTTAAACATATTTTTTGCCATTCCTTGTAGATATTTTTTTGGGTTTTGGGTTTTGCGCGAAAGGCAGTGCAATCCTGACAGCCAGGGGCATTGACATTTGCATGTGTGATTGTATTTTGTTTGCTTTTCTTCGCATTCCAGTGCCCTGTGTGTGTGTGTTCGCGAGTGTTGAGCAAACAGAAACACGTCCAGCACGAACAAACCCCACGTACACGTATGTATCGAGCAAATGCTTAGTTCATAAACGTTGACAATTAATTCAGCAAAATGGCAGCCATTCAACTAATTGGAAACGCTTAATGCGAATGCGAAACCAAAGCCCAAACGGCCAAACGGCCAAGCGGCCAAACGGCCAAACGGCCGTTGCGGACTAATGAAATTATTTGTAGCAATTATATGGGACCCCAGGGTGTGTTTCATACACATGCACGAAAAGATATTGGGGTGGGAGGCCCCTTGTGTGCCGCTTGGATTTACTCCGATTTATTTTCTCAACAGCAGTGCACTTTGACAGCAGGGCATCGTCCAGCCGCTAGTCAAGTACTTTAGAGACTTGGAATAGCTGGGTCCAGTCACGATGATTAGCTCCAGATACTTGTCGAAGGTCGTCAGGTCGAGGCAACGCCACTGTGGACAGGCGCAGTTGTGATGATGGGGGATCCTCATATTGTAGACCCATTCACGCCTAGTCGGCTTCTGCTGCGTGTTTCCTGCATAGAGTGCCTCATCGATCAGGGTCTGAACTGCGGGAATGCTGTGCAGCTCCTGCAGCTCCGCTCTAATCGAGCTAATGCACTGATTGGTCATCAGGTGAAAGCGGACTACGGCCATGATGCTAGGGGCATGCTGCTTGCGCTCTGGCCAATCGTGATGCAGCCAGCGCACCGCACTGTAGTAGATCTCCAGCTCAGAGTTGACACACATATTGCTGTGGTCCAGTATTTCGGAGACATCTGCGTGGTCCAGCCGGAGGTACTCCTCCGTGGCGACAGCCATGAGGAAGAAGCGCTGCACGCGGCCCAGCATCAGGTTCTGCAGCTTGCTCTTCCTGTGGGGCAGACACTCCAGATAAATCTGAAAGGCGATGGCATCGGTGACGAATTTCTCCTCGTGAAAGAGACTCCACAGATGATCCAGCAGCTGCGGCATCTTCAGGTACTCCGCGGCCAAGTAGAGCTCAACAATATCTTTGCGCTGCAGTTTATAGTTCTCGTTGATCATCCATTCGTAGGCGAGCTTGAATCCCGTATAAGTGACATCCTTATGCGCTATAATTACGCCAGTCGGGAAGTGCAAGTCTTTAGCAAATTCCGTACAGGTCTTAAGCACGATGAGATGGCAGAGGATTTTGTGTCCGCGGACATAGACATCGACGTCCGTGTTCTGCTGGTGGGTAATCAGGCGATTCATCTGATGTATGATGTGCGCCTTGTACTCATTTTCGGAACACAAATGCTGGATAAAGTCCTCAGTTCCCTCTTGGAAGCCCATTTCCCTCAGCGAGCAAGCGGGTATTGGCGTCGAATCAATGCATTCTCCTTCACTCTCTGACTCTTCAATCGATTCATTATCCTGATTCATCGCTAAGCGAGATTTTTTTTACAGCAAAACTATTTTGTTGTATGTCAAAGTTGGAGAGTGAAAAATCATAGCATATTTATGTTCGTTCGGCAGTGGATTTGCGGCATTAAAAGGATCATTTGCGGCTGGCAAAAGCCGCAGGTAAACAACACTTAAACTGCATTTAAGGATTGCCCCGGACATGCCGCATTTAGGATTCTAATTCCTGGCAGACCAACTTTGGGTTTTAAGTGCCCCGAGGCTGAAGCTGAAGCTGGGCGCCGGCTGAAGGGCTTAGTTTGGGCCTCCGAGTGCGACTGTGTTTATCTATGGCCCGGCCAGGGCCAGCCGCCTGGAGTACCCTCGCTCATCCGCTTGTGCGCTCCTCACGTCCTCGGCACTCCATCACCTTGGCTCATATTGGAGCCACCGCAAATTCCAGTCATTACATGCAACGATTGTGAGCTGGCCAAGATTTTATGTACCAGCAACAAACAAGCAAGTCGAGCAGACGGCCCAAACATACAGGCAGTCAGAGCGGACAGAGTGGGTGAGTGGGTGAGTGGCAGTGGAACAAGACATCTGAGGATTGGCAGATGCTTGGGTTGGTGGGGCCACAGGAAAATTGAGCTTAAGTTGCAATTAAGCAATTGCCTGGCCGACTGGACCGATACGAATGCTGATGCTGCTGCTGTTGTTGCTGCTGCTGCTGCTGGTGGTTGGGATACTCCTGCCGCTGGTGCCACTGAGGAGGGCTAATGGGAGCTACCAACCCAAGTGGCTGCTAACTCGCCTTTCAATGGATCGCCGACTCCGATTCAGACTCTCACTCTCAGTCTCTCTCGCTCTGCCCTGCCCTCCCCACCCAGCTGCACATAATGCAAAACTGCAATGAAATGCGGACAGCTGTTGCGGGGCTTGTGGCATGAGTGGCAATGCCTTGCGATGGGAATTTTGCTCTTCTTCTCTTTTCTATTTATGTGCAGTTGCTTTCCAATCACCAGCCAGCAAACTTAATACAATATTTAAACCACAAACGTAGCACAATGTAAACCAAAGTAATCTCGAACTCGGCTCCAGCTCCAGCTCCGGCTATGGCTTGGCTTTCTCTGTGGCAAGTGGCACAGCTTGCGGCCAACTACAGAGAGAGAGAGAGAGCGAAAAAAAAAGAAAGGGAAAACAATTTCAGGATTGAGGCAACTTCGCGTTTTTTAAGTAGAAAACTTTTTCCCTTACATTTGGCCATGGGGCGTGGGCGTGGCTGCAATGAAGCTTAGAGTGTGCCTCAAATGCAGTTCAACTGCGTGTCCGGCTGGGAATTGTACAGGTTTTTGATGGACTGGGACCTGACCCATAATGGAATATCCGCCATATACTCGAGCTGGCAGCAGCACTCGCATCGCAAATCAATTTGGATTGAATTTAAGCTTTAATGCGGTTGTCTGCAGTCAGCCATCAAATGGAGAGGACTGCCACTGCCGTCCAATGAATTTCAAATTACCATAAACAATTGAATGAGCGCCAAAAAATATACTCGTGCATCCTGCCTCCGCCCCTATACTCACATATGCACATACACACACACACGCACAAGCACTCACACACACAAATGCTAATCAGCGCTGCTCTCTGAGCTTTATGCTCTTCGGTTTATTTGCGTTGCTCATACGCAGTGTGGGTCGCCGACGCCACCGCCGCCGCCGCTGCCTCATCGCTAATCCCGGCACGCAGCATCAATAAGTCAAACACGTCAATGGCAAGCAGTGCAAACGGCGGAAAGCAGCCAGTGAAACAATAAGCGACGAATAACGGGGATAGAGGGAAAGAGAGTGAGTGAGTGAGTGAGTGAGAGGGGGGGAGAGACAATAGAAGAGACAAAGGCCAACAATTTATTGTTGCTCAATGTCGCATTTATCATCACTTTATGCCACTTAATCGAGTCCTCTCGCTGCGTCCCATTCGGCTTTCTGGCTGTTTCCGCTCCGCTCCCCCCAGAAGCTGATTTCAATGTTTATCCTCCTCCCAGTCCGGAGGGAACTCTGTTGTTTGCTTATTGTTTTTCGACACACATCCGCGCACACACAGACGCACACTCGAGAACTTTTCAGCGTCTTTTTATGGTTTATGGCGCCATTGAATTTTTCGTTTGCTTTCTTATTAAATTATAATTTATATGTGTAGTCGCATCAGACGACAAGGCCCACAACACACACACACGCACACGCACAGGCACTTTGTCAATTGTTTAATAGAAAACAAAGGAGATCTGTTTCCCCCAAGCAGGACGACACATTTTGTTATTTATACATGCGCACGGCGTACTCCATTACGACTTTGAATGTTTGTGTTCAGGTCGGAACTGCTGATGGAAACTGCGATAGTAATATATTAAAGATGCCAGATATCGAATTTCTGCTGGAGTACCTTAACGCATGAGGTTGCTGGAGCAGAGTCTGCCCTTCGGTTTGATGGTGAAATGTCGAATGGAGCTTTCCCGTGTATAATCCAAACTTGTTTGAAACAGTTGCTCTTTTGAATATATATTTTGTTATATGCAAATTGACTATTGCTGCCAACAGAATTATTTACAGATTAAAAGCATTCACTGCTAATCCAGTTTGATAATGCAATTGAAATATACAGCCAGGTTCTCTCTGCTACATATGACTGGCAGCCGCCGACTGCCGCTCCCCCGTATCGATGATATTGCCCAAAAAATTCACTGAATTCAACGAATGCACATGAAAATGTCTGCAATTGGCAAAACAAAACTCTACTAAATGGGCCCCACAAATATTCTGATAATAATTAATTGAACAGCAGTTGGTTTTGGATTTTATTTTGTCGGTTTTTCATTTCATATTTAATGTAGACCATTGGAGGGACTCGTCCGTTAAATCGACAAAAAAAAAAAAAAGCCAGACACACACACAAACACACACACACAAAGAGTATTCTAATTCATTAAATTTGCATATAACTTTTAAGCATATTTGATATATATGTAGATGCATATTTTGTATGGCACATACATACATATGATTCATTGATTTGATACGCAACATTTTAATAGCAAATTAAACTGCCGTCGGGCAGCGCATAATTTGCGTTCTACCCAAAAAAGCAGCGGTTTAAAAATAGAAAAAGAAGAATAGAAGTTTAGTTTGGATTGCCGAGGGATTAGATACCCTTACAGTGTGCAGATTAACGTATTTTATTGAGCATCAGAACTAACGAAAGAGTAAATTTGAAGGTAAATTTTAATCATGCCAATGGTAGCCATAGGAGCATATGGGATGTTCATTCAATGTTGTATACCCAGTACAAGGGTATCCAAACCACATCAGCAACAGCTGGCTAAATTCCATTTCGTGGAATTATCGAATATAAACACAATGAATGCAAAATAGAAACCAGATAAAAAACAATTTTCTAAATTGTAAATATTTGTAAAATCGATTCAATTTTTGTTACATTTTTAAAATTATTTTAATTAACTTCCAAAATGTAATAAGTTCGGATGGAGTTCTCTCAACCCAGATTTTTGGCATATGACAGCTGCTGCCGGCGTGTAGCAATGCGGGGATTTTTCTTTTAATTAAATCTGTGGCCCCGCATCAGCGGTGGCGGTGGCGGTTTCGGTCGCATCGGTTAACCCACAAAAATTGAGAACCCAACTGGGGATCTTACATTAATCATTTTACCTTTCAAATGCATTTTCATTAGGCGTCGGCAAAATTGAAAGTTGTCTCAGTGCAAATGCCGCCGGGAGCCGTGGCTCATTAATAACCGACAAGAAGGCATAATTCTTTGTCTTCATCTGGGTAACATTTTCTTTTCTTTTTCTTTTTTTCCTTTTTGCGGTTTTTTTTCCTTTCCCGCTTTGGGCATTTCGTTTCCACGGAAAATGAAGATGCCAAAACGTTGACAGGCTGCCGAATCCCGTTGATGTTCCGAGCACACCACCTACAGGGCGACGAGGGGACATGCAATGTGGTATAGTGACCAACTAACGACATTCCCGCAACAACTTGCCAAAAAGAGAGTACCTTAGTTTAGCCCGCCCGAACTTTTCCAATTAAATCCGTGGCAAAAGCTGTGGGTGTGGGGAAACAAGCAAAGTTCTAATGAGTTTATTAATCAGCGATAAATTCGGCCGCGTATGCATATGCAGGGGGAATATCATCAGCAGAAAACCATTGCGCTAGTTGTCATAATTTCTTGTCAGAGATGTTTTGGGTCTTACAGACAGCAGTCAATCGGCTGCAGCAGAGTGCTGCTCTGGCTTAAGGCCAAGTCTGTAAGCCAACGTCCAGCAAATGGACATTCTAGCCAGCAGATTTCTCACTGGAGCTAATTAATGTGCAAAGTGTCAATTAATCAATCCGGCGGTCGATCAATCCAATAAATCCAGAAATCCAATGCCAGTCAGAGAGCTAAAATTACTCTCGGTCCCCCCTTTTTGGCGCTTTGAGTTTATTGACTGGATAACACTCAACAAGCTGTCGGAGCTGGCAATGGCAAATAACTGGCGACAAAGGCTCAACGGAAACGGCAAAAAAAATAAGCAGAAAAAATAAGCAGAAAAAAAAGCAGAAAAAAATTACATCAAAGGGAACGAAACCAAAGCTCCCTAAACGTTTGGGAAAAGCTCATTTAATCAACCGTTGCCCTGGCAACACCCCAGCGCAATGGGTAAAGGGAAAATGCCAACTAATTATTATGACAAACATCAAACATCCGCCTCGTTGGCCCATTAGAATACGGGTATTATGGCTTAAATGCTCAGCAAAATGCAATTGAAACGCTTTCAATGGGATATGAGATGATTATACATTTTAGCCGCTGTGTAGGGAGAATCAAGCATGAACTAACAAAATAAACATTTAATTTGATTTAACAATATTTTCGTTGCATTTAAAAGCAAACACTTAACACTGGATCCCTTCGGCATCAAACTGTGGATAAGTGGGGGCAACAGGGTTTCCCTGCATAATCACCTGCATTACGATGGGTGGCTTGGTTCTAGGGGCCTTGATGGCAATTAAGAAAGGACTTGATAAAACAGGAGCAGCCCAGCAGCAGGATCACAAGAGTGTTGGTCAGGAGGACATGATCCATTGAGCGGCGCATGTCCCGCCAGGAGCCATCGTTGCGCACATAGAAACAGAAATACAAACACATGACATCGCTAATCAGGAACATGCAGATGAAGATGGCACGGCTGTTCTTTCGGGCGTACGCCGAAAATGTGTACACGCCCGACATGATGATTATGGATGGAATCAATATCTTGAGTATGATGAGGGCGGTCATTGTGATTGGAGGAGAGTTGGATACTAGCAGGCGGGAAGTGGTCGGCTGGAAGGCGAAACTGAAGAGCCAGTGTCCGGATCCGAAAAAGGATACGTAGAAGTAGAGCAGAATGAAGGTGGCATAGCGGTAGCATAGCTTTAAGCTGTCCAGTGCCGTTGGGAGAGTTTCTACATCTTTCTGTAGAGTCTCGTTTTCATTCCCGTTACTCGCCTCAGGTTCGGGCTCCGGCTCCTCTTCTATTGCCTTCTTCTTGGCTTTATTGATCTCCGAATGAATGTGTTGGCCCAGCAGGAACTCGGTGATCAGCATTTGATTGAAGAGCGATCCCGCCGAAAGGGAAAGCAGCGCATGAACCACAATCAGGTTGAACGAAATCAAATGTAGCCGGCTGAGTGGGGTGTCCGCACCGCTGTATGGCACCGACAGGAATGCGTAGGCGAGGAAGGCCCAGAAGGCCACCTCTAAGTACAGTGCAACCTGCAGAGTATTCTCGCGGAGATAAATGCCGTAGATTCCAATCAGCAGAATGCCCGAGTTGATCAGCCAAACGTGCATCGGATGCTTGTGTCCCAGTAGCCATGGCAGGAACACGGCCAGACACATGCTGAACCCCAGAATATATTCGCTGGGTATCAATTTAAATCTGTAGTTCTGCTGGACAATGAGAAAGCCACTGGGGAGCAGAACGGCCGCCAGCCAGAGGAAGAACTTGAGTGTGGGTCGACGGAAGCCGCGCCGATTGTAGGCAACCACAACAGCAGCGTAGAGCAGGCCCACATGGCGGTTCATAAATGATGTCGTTACAACCAATCCGGCGGGAATCACTGTCCAGGCCAAGTGTGTCAGCGGGTAGGGAATGGAGCGGCCATGCAGCGGGCGTTCGGCCAGGGCCATCGTCCAGATGCCGATGGGCAGCAGCAGATAAAAGGCCGTCATGCAGGGCACCCGTTGCAGAAGCAACACACATCCGAGCGCGATTCCCAGCAGGACCATCAGAGCCGTCATCCATGTTTGGAGTCCCATCTTCGGTTGCGGGTTCGAGTCCGGGTCCGGGTCCGAGAATGAGCGCGTCAGCCACACCGCCAGACAGAAAAGCCAGCCCAGAAACGAGGCACCCATGGCCACCAGCAATGGGGTTCGATAGTAGTCCTGGTAGTAGTCCAGGCACTGCCGCGCACGCCAGCACGTTTGCAGGAGCAGTTGCACGGCCGTTTTGACGTAGCCTCTCGCCATTAGCTGCTCAACTTCAGTGGGCAGGCTCGCGGTCCGTGCCGCATCCAGTTTCCCATATTTGGGTAGCCATTTGTGGAAGAGGCTGCGCTCGTGACGCAGCAACACGCTCCTGGCCTGTGACAGCAGTTGCAGGACATTCAGCAGCAACGACTGCCGCTCGTACTCCACGCTCACATTGAGGTAGCCCAGGGGCAGTGGGGCTCGGTTGTTTATGGGCGGCGGTAGGCCAATCAGGGCTGACATCAGCGGCGCCAGTTGAATCTGGTTGAGTTCCTGCAACGGCAGCTGCAGTCCATGCGCGTTGGCCGTGAAGCTTTGCCCGGTGTGGGGTCCTTGGCGCTTCACCCCGGCACCCCACAGGAAGAATGGCATTTCTTTTTCCAGATCAGTTCCACCGCCATGGAAGCCTGCAACGAGAGCGGGAGCTGTAGTTGTCTGCAGTCACCCTTTGATGTCTCAATTACACATTACATACCCATATCGGCCATGCCATGATCGGATGTCATCAGATAGGCAGTGCGACTGTCGTTGAATGCGCTCTCAAAGAGCTCGTAAGCCTTTCGAATTTTCTGCTGTGTGGCATGCAGAGTTTCCCGGAACTCTGGTCGCAGCGGCGTGAACCCGTGCCCGACCTTGTCCAGCTCCGACAAATACACCAAAAACACCGCCTGCGTGGCATTGTGCAGCTGTCTGATATTTTCGTCGCTGGTCAGAAAGTTGCGTGCCTTCTCGTACACCCAGGCATCGGTCTTAAATCCTCCAGCGAAATCCGTTTCGAATCGCGGCGGCTCACCCCGGGAACGGGTGAAGTAATCGGCCACCGTTTTGGGCACCCAACCGATGGCGATGCGGCTGCGATTGAATACCGAGTCGAAGGGCGTGGGATTCCACATGAAATTGGTGATGGCCGTCTGTGGATCCTCGGTGAAGCCAGCGAACATAGCAATGAGTCCGGGTCGGGTCATTGTCGGTGCGAGGCCACTCGATATACCGACTATGCCCTGCTTCTCGAACAGCTGCTGGATGTGTGGCACCCCGCTGCAGTTACCCGAGAAGAACGACTCTGCCCGCAGGCCATGGGCAATGAATACCACCAGTCGATCGGCCGGCGGCTGCAGACCCAACTCTGGCAGTGTCTTCTGCGGCTCCAGATGCGCCACAATAGTTGATTGAAAATATATGTGAATGATGCAGCCAAGCAGCAAAATGTGCACGACCAAAGCCTGAAGTTCCCACATTTTCGTAGCGCCTGATCAAATATTCGATGTGTTCAGGTTCCGATCTAACTCAAAACTCAGTGAATACGAAATAAATTTCAGAGAAGCTGCGATTTGAACTGCTTTATCTGGTCAGAAGTGTGAAGCACTCACATAGGGAATTTTTCCTTACTCTGCTTGGCCCTTTCCATCTGCCGCTTGATTTGTGCGCTGGCAGCAAATGTGGCGCGTTGCTTGATTTGATTTACGCGGCTGCAATTCAAATGAGCTGCAAATTGCAGCAGTTTCTCCGCGGAAGCTTTCCAATTTAAGTCTTTAAGACTTTTGTCGATGCCACGGGGTCCGGACTCCGGACCGACCACGCAAATAAAGTGCCTGCCATAAATTGTCGCGCTGCGACACCATCTTCGACTCTGTCTGCAATTCGTCGTTCGCACCGCTCACCGTTCTGAGGGTTTTTGTGTACTTTGATTAATTCAAACAGCTCACAGACATTCCGTTCCAGGTGATTCTGCAAGCGGGGGGCGAGCAGCAGGTACTTCGAGCGTACTACGCGGGTTTTTTGATGGCCAGACAGACACATAATCTGACAAATTTTGATGGGCGCGCATTTGGCTTTTTGTCGGCAATGGGCTTTAACGCTAGTTAGACCAAATGGGTTAAAGTCTGGTCTGCATCGCTCAGGAGCCAAAAGCGTCTGTGTCTGCCATTTGTCAGCCGAATCCAGGCTAAAGTCTAATGTCTAATGTCTGCTAATGTCTCGGCCCACTGACAGTTGTAAGCCAGTCGACAAATGGCAGGCTGGGGGATGTGCTGTCTGGCCGACGAACTGTCTGACAGACTGACTGACTGACTGACTGAATAACTGGTTCGTTGGGCAATTAAAGGCCTTGTTCTGTGTCTGGCAATGGGCTCATTTAACGGCGAACAAGAGTTAGGCGTTTTATGGTCAACAGTCGCGTGTTTGAAGCAATTGAGAAATTCTATTGAGTAATTGAGCAGCGAAGTCGCTGCAGCATCGCTACGAAAGGCCTCTCCTGCAGGGCGCAGGCGCTCTCTCTTAGCCGAGACTCGAAACTCTCTCTCTGGGTCAGCAACATGTTGTTCTGGACCTGGCCCAATGTGCAATATCACGGGCGGCAGTGTGTTGTGCCGAACAGCACGCTTGCCACAAATTAAACGAATTGTGGCGGCAGCATTGGCAACATTTGTTGCCACAATGACCAGACCAGGCCAAGCAGCAGAAAACGAAACGAAACGAAACGAATAAAATGCCAAATGTTTGTGGTTTGGGGGGGGGCTCTTGAACTCAAACCTAACCAGCTGAGAGATGTTGGCTGAGGACCCAGCTACCCAGCAAATGGCACTCGACATTGCAACAAGAGCTCGTAGTGGGACTAATCTAAGGGAATGCTGATATGTTGGATTTTGAGAGCCCAAAAGAGGAGCTCTTTAAATGGCAAGCACAAGGACCCAGCACAGCACAGCACAGCACAGCAAAAAGTGTAATTGCTTAGTCCTGCACTTCAAAACCAATATCAGGCAAATCAATTACGCCAGCCAGCTCGTTTTTCCCCCCATAGAGATTTTTTTTTTTTTTTTTGGCCCCACCCCCTTTCATGGACAGCTGCGTTTTGTGTTGACAGAACTTATCAACAATTCAATTTCAATAAAAACTCGTGCGTTTGCCGGCTCGCATATTGTTCGATGCATTTTTTAGCACAAAATATTAGAGTCTGTGCGAGCAGGTGCGCGCTCGGAAGGGGTGGAAGGATCAGCTGGGGGGGGGCCATGATGTACGAGTGTACGCCGCTGGCTGGTGGCTGGTGGCTGTGTGCGTGCTGAATTTTTGGCATTTGAATTGTCACATCTGGTTGGTGGCTTCAAACTCATCCATCAAATGCAGCCCAGACCGGTCGATGTGCTCCTCTACAAGGACTGCTTCCCCCGCATTCCGACCGCGTTGCCGCCTGTCAGCGCTTGCCAATGCAATCATTTTTATTGTGTGTCTCTGTGTCTGTGGCGGTGTGTATCTGTGAAATAGCGCACATAACCACAGCGACAAACCGAACGGGGAACTCCCGCTACGTTTTTTTTTTGGTTTTTGGTTTTTTTTTTGTCAAACGTTGTGTGTTTGCTTAACGAGGCCCTGACAATGTGAATGTGAGTGCGAAAGCGGCAGTGAATTTGAGTGTGAATGTGAATGGTGGGCAGGCTTAGCTGCGGCTGCGGCTCGGGCTCAGTCTGGGGGCTGGGGGCTGGGGGCTGAGTGCATTGAAAGGCAAACAGGCAAACACAATGCGAATATAATTTACGAGTAGTTGGACTCGGCAACGGAGTTTTTAATAGTTGGCTTTTGTCATGCGACCTCTGTCGACCTCTTTCTTGTAATTCAGCGAACAAATCACATCGAATTAGTTATTTATGGCTAGAATAGCCACTGACATGGCCGAAAACTGATTACTGGAAACGTCAGCGCTAGTCACACGCAATATAAATAAATAAATATATAAATAAAGAGAAAAATGGTGAAAGTTGAGCAACTTCTGAGTTTAGCCAGGATTTAGCCATTATCATTATCCCAACAAGCCCTCAACAATCTAACGAGTTGATGGCAAGTCCTTATGCAATCGGCCAACCGAAAAAGTCTCGCATGAAACTTCGGTTGACACTCTGCCAGTCAAGTAGGTCAACAATTCAATGATGATGATGATTTTTGTGTGGGCCAGGCCAGGCCAGGCAGGCTTTAAAACGTTCTGCCACATTTGAGGCTGCAAAAAAGGCAGCTATGGCAACACAATGGCGCCCCGCCCCCCGGGGGAGCTCAGCTGAGGTGGCATTCTCTTTTCAATAATGCAGATTTATGTATTGTGTTGTGCAAAATTAAATGAGCTTTTGTTGCAGCACCAGAGAGAGAGAGTGAGAGAGAGAGAGACAGCCATAATACAGTTTATTCGGCTGAAATTTAGCAGCAGCACAAAAGTATGCAACACTCAATTGGATTTAATTGCAGAAGCGACTGCGGCAGTGGCAGTGGCAGCCATCACTAAAAGAACACTAAACTATGTAGAATATTTGGCCATAGCCCATGTCATTTCAGGAATTCATTTGATTATATAACTGAATTAAAAATGAATGGTGTATGTTCATGCTTCATTTCCCAGGCAGCACTCGCTAATCTAGTTAATTATGCGGCATGCACGCACGAACATACATACATACATACATAGTTACTATGTTGGATGCATTGTTGCATGGATTTATTGAAAACTATTTTATGGAGAAATAATACATATATCCTGTTAATTAGGACAAAGCGAGCAGGGCTTCTTCGGTTTGCCCTTTTGTGTGTTTGGCTAATGTTATTGCATTTGTTGCATTTGCTTTCGCTTCACAATTTAATTGGTTAGTTCACATAAACAAGTTGCAAAAGTTGTTGCCTGGCAAAATGTATCGTCGCCCTGCGCCCTCTTCTCCGCAGCGCTCAGGAGGAGCAGCTTGTCAGGCCTTTGAGCGGCAAAATTAAATAGCAAAGCGAAGTGCACTGCTTGCTTTTTATATTCCTTTTCCCTTTTAGTTTTTTGTACACCCCCCCATCCGCCCACCATCGTGTTTTTTTTTTTTGGCAGCAAACAAGCCTGTGCTGGCTGGCAGAGCCATAAGGTACAGCTTCCTCTTTGGGCTGTCAGTGGCATGTGCAGAGACACGCCTCCTGCTGCCTGCCGGTGGTACCACTCCTGACCCAGACCCAGAGTAAGAGTCAGAGTCAGACCGAGACCTCAGGCCCATCTCCAGACCCCCAAAGCATCACATTGCCATTCCCATGCCCATGCCCATGCCCATTCCCATTCCCATGCCCATTCGCATCCCCTTTCCCATCCCATTGAATGCCGTATGGCATGTGCAAAAGTAAAAACGAAGTTGGGCAAAACTTTTTAATATGCTTGCGAAATTTTATCAAAACTACAAAATTGCAGCAAAGTGCCAAGTGCCTGGGAGCTGCAGCAGCAACCAAACGACAACGACAACGAGGAGGAGGAGCGTAGACTTTGGCGACAGCAAAGGGCGCTGCGCTGCGCAGCCAAGCCCATGGAGTTGGCCAAACAAAACACAGTCAAGCGAAACCTTCAACTCAATTTGGCAATCGCATTTCTTGCTCTACTTCCGCCTATTCAACTTGACTCGATTTGCGTGCCGGCGACCGTCAGCTCCACGATTACATGTGCCTCTGTGTGGAGCTCTCTGCCTCCTGCCTCCCAGCTCTGCCTCCTGCACCACGCTTCGCCTTTATGTGTGTTTAAGTGGCAATGCAAATGGCAACATTTTGGCGAGCTCTTCACTCTTCTCCGACTGACAGTAACACGACATATATATTTTTTTAATTTTTTGTTTTTTTTTTGTAAACTTTTTGTGCCAAATTTAATTGCAGTGAAAATGTTCAAAGGCAACCCTGACAGCGGGGCCACAGGCCCTTTGGTGGGGCAGCTGGGAGCTGAGGGCTGAGAGCTGGTAGATGGCGTGGCTGATTAATTGTGCAAATTAATTTAGCATTTACATGCCATGAAAAACTTGCAGCATTGCATGGAAAATCGTTGCCCCAGAAGTGTACCCAAAAGCACCAAAAGAATGACATTTCTTGTGGGGCTTTGCTTTCGAAACTTTTCCAACAGTAATTTGATTTATGAAGTGAAACTTGAAACCTCTTCAGTTCTGTTTTTGGCCTTAAATTGTCCTACAGCTTAAAGAGCGGAGCTGCTGCTGCCTTTGCAGGTGGTTGTATGCCAAATTTCAAATGTGGCGGTTGTCTAATTAGCCAGTCAGACAGTCAGTCAGTCAGCCAGTCAGTCAGTCAATTGTTAAGCATGCGCCACGTTGCACGCCCTATAAGGGATGGGATATTTGGCCCACGTCAAATTAACTGTGCCCCTCTATGTGCTCTCTCTGCTATTGCGATAGTGTCCGCCCAGCCACGTTGTAAATAACAACAGGACAGGGCACAAAGGAGGCGAACACCCAACTGCTGCCTGTCCCTGCTGCTTGCGCTGCTTTCGCTGCTTTCGCTGCTGCTGCTGCTGCCTCTGACTG